TTGTGCTGAGTGACTCACCAACTCAAGAGGCAACGAGTGTCAGCTGTTTGCTGGTTGTCTCTGATTGGGAGCCATATTTATACTGTCGGTTTTCCTTTGTGTTTTGTGGGTTCTTGTTTCTAGTTGGTTGTGTTTAACCGTGAACTGTCACGTTTCCGTCTTTTGTTGTTTTCATCACGTTTCGCTAATAAACAAGTATGTTTGCCTGCAACGCTGCGCCTTGGTCCTCATCTCTCACCGACGATCGTGAAAGAAGAACCCACCAGAACTGGACCAAGCAGCCTAGTGAGGAGCAGAGTGGGTGGACTTGGCAACAGTGGAGGCAGAGTTTTGACTGGGTCAAGCCGAATGAGGAGCTGAATGACGGAGATTGGAAGCAGAGGAGCGAGAGTTGGGCGAGAATTATCGAGGCCTGGCCCACGGGGAAGAGAGACTCCCAGAAAATTTTTAGGGGGGGGCTCACGACGTCGGACCAGCAGGAGGCCGCGATAGAGCGGCCCAGCGGGTTGCCAGAGGAGGCCGCCATTACGGGGGCCACTGGTCGAAGAGGGGATGAAGGATGTAGAGGCACGGCGAGAGGTACTGGCGTGTGTTGCCAGTCCGGTCCGGCCCGTTCCAGATCCCGGTGTAGGGCCAGTGGTGTGTGTCCCCAGTACGGTCCGGTCTATTCCTGCTCCCCGCACCAAGTCAGGAGGGCGCATCGCCAGCCCTGTCCGGTCTGTCCCTGCTCCAAGCACCAAGCCTACGGTGTGCGTCGCCAGCCCAGCCCGGCCTGTCCCTGCTCCACGCACCAAGCCTACGGTGTGCGTCGACAGCCCAGTCCGGCCTGTTCCTGCTCCACGCACCAAGCCTACGGTGTGCGTCGACAGCCCAGTCCGGCCTGTTCCTGCTCCACGCACCATGCCTACGGTGTGCGTCGCCAGCCCAGCCCGGCCTGTCCCTGCTCCACGCACCAAGCCTACGGTGTTGCGTCGCCAGTCCAGCTCGGCCTGTCCCTGCTCCACGCACCAAGCCAAGGGTGCGAGTCGTCAGTCCGGTGAGGCCCGTTCCGGCTCCACGCACCAAGCCAGGTGTGCGTATCGTCAGCCCGGTCCGGTCCGTTCCTGCCTCACGCGCCAAGCCAGGGGTGCGCGTCGTCAGTCTGGTGCCTGATCAGGTACCGGTCAGCTGTTCCACAACGGAGCGTAAGCAATCCACTCCGTTGATGTCCAGTCCAGATCCAGCCAGCGGGGTCAGACCGGACCAGGGGCGCTACGGGGGAGTTATGGAAGGGTGGTGGTCAAGCCCGGAGCCGGAGCCGCCTCCGAGGAGGAATGCCCACCCAGCCCTCCCCTGTGTGGGTTTTGTTGAGGCGCGGTCGCAGTCCGCGCCTTTAGGGGGGGGTACTGTCACACTCTGGCTCTGGGGACTTTATATGTTGAGTCAGGGTGTGTAGATTCCGTGTGTTTATGTGCTGTGTTTGAGTGTCTAGTTGTTCTATGTCTAGGTTGGCCTGAGTGACTCCCAATCAGAGGCAACGAGTATCAGCTGTTTGCTGGTTGTCTCTGATTGGGAGCCATATTTATACTGTCGGTTTTCCTTTGTGTTTTGTGGGTTCTTGTTTCTAGTTGGTTGTGTTTAACCGTGAACTGTCACGTTTCCGTCTTTTGTTGTTTTCATCACGTTTCGCTAATAAACGAGTATGTTTGCCTGCAACGCTGCGCCTTGGTCCTCATCTCTCACCGACGATCGTGACAGGCTCCAGTTTCTTGTGAGATATGTTTGAGTTGACTACTTCATGAGTCATATATATTTCTACAACAGCAGACGGCAAGGAACTGTTGTGTCTAATGAAGTCTGGGCCATCGTTGTTGACCATGTGGTAAACAGAGGCCTTACCATGGCAGAGGCTGCCAGATTAGTTCACCCCAATCTGAAAAGATCAACTGTCAATTCAATCATAAGAACATTTTCTCCAAGAAAACCGGTAAGTCTGCTGGATATGCACTATGCTTTACCATTACATTTACATTACATTTTAGTCATTTAGCAGACGCTCTTATCCAGAGCGACTTACAGGAGCAATTAGGGTTAAGTGCCTTAAGGGCACATCGACAGAATTTTCACCTAGTCGGCTCGGGGATTAGAACCAGCGACCTTTCGGTTACTGGTACAACGCTCTTACCCACTAAGCTACCTGCCGCCCCAGACCAAAGCAATTGGAACTTAAACTGTTACAGTGAATGCATGGAAGGATGTGGGTTTGAGAGTGAAAAGAAACACAGATTTGTTAAAAACAAATTATGAAAATAAAGAGTAAAGCGGAGTGGTTTGTAATATGGCAGATCATATGAAGAGGGTGGACTTGAAGGGAAAGGTTGAGAGAAGGGGGAAGTCCTTGAGCTGTCTGTGTGGGCTAGATCACCGGTCCATCATGCTGAGGATCATCTCAGGGGTGAGATCTCCGTTGGACGCAACCTCTGCTACAGGCAGCGCCACCCCTGCCTCTGCCTCCTCTGACTGCTCAACCACCACCTCTATGGCAGCCTGCTCAGCCTCTGGCTCATTCTTCACTATGATGTTCTCTATGGCACCTGTATTCTCATCCTCCACCTGGATGATGGCTGCTGCTGCAGCAGCCTTGCCCTTAGGGGTAGCCTTGCTAGCTTTGGCAGGTGAGGCGGGTTTGGGCGCATTCTTGGGGGGTCTACCGCGTTTCCTCTTCACGGGAGGCTCCACAGGGGCAGGGATAGGCTTGGTGGGTGGAGCCTGCTCCAACTCCATCTCCTCCTCCTCCTCTTCTTCGTCCTCCAGCAGTGCCGCCTCAGCCTCCTCATCCTCTTCATCAATGTCATCCAGCTCAGGATCAGCATTGTCCTCACTATCGTCGTCATCATCGTCCTTCCTTGAGCGCATCTTCCTCTTCCTCCCACCTCGTCCTATCTTGGGTGGGGTTCCATTCTCTCCTTCACCAGGATCCCCGTTACAGTTCTCTGCATGTCTGGCCATGGTGTTCCTGCGGGTGAAGGTCTTGCCACACTTTGTGCACACAAAGGCATTCGGCACAAAGTTGGGGTCATGGTAGCGCCGGAAGTGCATGTCGAGGAGCTGCTTCTGACGGAAGGTCTTCTCGCACTGGCTACAGGAGTAAGGCTTCTCTCCTGTGTGCGTGCGCCTGTGCATCAGCATGTGGCGCTCTTGTCTGCAGCAGTAGTCACACTGGTCACACTTGAAGCGTTTCTCATTTTTGTGGGACTTCTGGTGCTGGATGAGAGCATAGCGCTCGTGGAACACAGCATCACAGTAACGGCATTTCCTGCCCTGCTCAATGAACGAGTGCTGCTTACGCAGATGGACACCCAGGTCACTCTTGCGGGCGATAACTGTGTCACAGTGGGGGACAGTGGAACTTGGCCACGTTCTCTGTGTGCTTCTGCAGGATGTGCATCTTCATGGTTCCACTCTGGGTGAAACGGGCGTGGCAGATGTAGCATTCATATGGCTTCTCTCCCGAGTGTGTCCTCATGTGTCTCTTCAGCTTGTAGGTGTCTCTGCTGGCGTAGCTGCACAGACTGCACATGTTGTAATGCATGTAAATTCACATAACTTGTTCCAGTATTCTTCCAGTATGATCTACTGACAGTATACTCTTGTTCTACCCTCAGAATTGACAGAAGACCCCATGGTGGTGATCGTGTGCTGACCGACCAGCAGGAGTGGGCAGTGGTGGAAATGGTGAGGGCCAGGAATGACATACGTCTGTCTGAAATAAAGCAGGCCATTGAGGAGAATGATGACACCTTTGCCAATGTGGCATCCATCAGCCTACCAACAATCACCCGCCTTTTGAAGAGGCACCAGGTATCTATGAAACACATTTACCTGGTGCCTTCTGAGAGAAACAACTGCGGGCCGAGTATGTTCAGGTATAGCACTATATACTGTATTACTGTTGCTATTAATGCACATGCTACTTCACAATATCATAATGGAACTATACTGTAAAAAGAACTAACCAAAATATATTTTTAGAGGGTGATGGTGCTTGATGCTGCTGTGAACCATCACTAGTATATCTTTGTTGATGAAGCGGGCTTCAACCTGGCCAAAACTTGGTGCCGTGGGCGGAACCCTATTTGCCAATGGGCGTCCGTCCAAGTGCCTGGACAACGCGGGGGAAACATTTCCAAGTGCAGCAGCTATCTCTGAAGATGGTGTGGGTAGGACGTAGACCATTACTTGGATCCTACCACGCTGCACACCTCATTTTTTCAGGCCCCACCCTGTTCTGCCCCTTTCCGCCCCCTTTCCCCTTAAATTTTTTTTTGGCCCCGGGAAAGGGGGGGGTTTCCGCCCCCCAAAGCGGCCACCCCCCGGCCAGGGTGAGGCTTGTATTTTGCTTTTTCAAAAGGAAATTTTTCTGGGGGGGCTAAAAGGCATTTCTTGTATGAGTTTTTTGGAAAAGCCAAGAACTTGGGTTAAGGTTTGAAATTTTTTTTCCATTTTTTTTTCCTTTAAGTTCACTCTTTAAAACGACGGGTTGGCAATTAGAAAAAAAAAATTTCCCCCCAAAATGTGTAAAGCCCCTCTTTCACACCTTTGTTCCTTGGATAGTATCATGGAAAAAAATTGTCAATGTTTTTAAGTGGGGTTTCAAATTTAAACCGTCCCCTCAGATGAGAAAATTTTTTTCTGGGGTTAGAAACAATTTGCGGGGTTTTATTGGTAGTGTTTTTTTCAATTGTGTTTAAGGTTTTGGGGATTAAACCTGCCCATAATTTTTTTTAAAAAAATGGGGTTTGAAAAGGAAAAAATAATTGCCCCAATTACGGTTTTGAAGAAAAATGGGTTTTTTCCCGGCCCAAAATTTTATACTGGGTTTAAAATTACCCCCCTTTTAAATGGGCCCAAATGTAAAAAAAAACCAAAATTTTTTTTTGGGGGAGGGTTTTTTGATTTCTAAAAACACTGGGGGAAACCCCGGAAAAAAAAAGGGGGGCCAACCCCAAAAGGGGGGAAAAAATTGATCCCCTTCTCAAAGGGTTCTGGCCCGGGTTTTTTTTTTTAAAGGTCAGTAATTGAGGAATTGGGTCCCTTTACTATTTTTACCTATAAAAAATGTCCCAAAAAAAAACTCAAAAATTCCCCCAGGCCCGGGCCCCAAAGTCCCCAAGGGGGTCAGGAAAAGTTTTGGGCCAACGGGGGAAATCTAAAAATACGGGCCGGGGGGGGGTTTAAACCCTTTTTTGTTTAAAATGGAAAAAAAAGAACGAAATCCCCCCCTGGGGTCCACTTTCCCCCGGGAGGGAATTTTTAAAAGGTCACCCGAAAAACAGGGGAGGTTTTCCCAGTCCAGCCTGGACCTTTCCCAAAAAAAAATTTTTGGAACCATAGCTAAAGGTTTTAAATTTGGGGGCCCAATTTCAAAAGAAATAAACCCCCCTCGAAGTTTGATGAACATTAATAAAAAAAAACTTGAAAAATTTTTTGGGTCTATAACCTGATTTTGGATAATCCCGGTTGTTAGGGGTGTTAAATGACCCCAAGGAAAACCCCCTAAAGGGGTGGAAAATTTTTTTTTTTTCTCAAAGGGGGAAAAACTTCCCCGAAAAGGGTAGGGGCATGTATTTAATTTGGGTGAAAACCTCCTTCCCAAAATGAAAAAAATGGGGGGTGGGTTTCCAACTAAAGCCCCAAAAAGGGGCCCAAAAATGGCTGGAAAACCTTAAGGCTGGAGTTTTCCCCAGTTAATTACCCTAAAAAATTTTTAGGGGCTAACGATTGAAATTTTGGAAAAATTAATGTTTTAAATTTCAAAGAAAGGGGGGAAAAAACCCCCGAAGGGCCCAAAACCTGGTGGAAAAAAAAAATTGACCCTGTTTTCAAAGGGTTTTGCCCAAGTTTTAATCATTTTTCGAAAAATTTAACCCCTAAAAAATGTAATTTTTTTTCTTTTAAAATTTTTTCGGATTTTTTTTTACTCTCCCGGGCAAAAAACCCTCCAAAAAAAAAGGGAAACTTTTTTTTTTTTCCCCCATTTTCCCCCAAAAAAAAAAAAAAAAGGGGCCCCCCCGGGGGACCCCTTTTTCCCCTTTTTTCCCCAAACATTTTTAAAAAAAGGGAAAACCCCCAAAACAAAAAAAATTTTGGGCCCCCCTCCCCCCCACCCCCCTTTTCCCCAAATTTTAAAACAAAAAATTTTTTAACCCCCCCCTCCCTTTTTTCCCCCCTTTCCCCGAAATAAACCCCTTAAACTATTTTTTTCTTTTTTTTTTCCCCCAAATAAAAATTTTAAAATTTTTAAAAGGGGAAAATAAATTCTGAATTTTACAACCACTCCCAAACAAAACCGAGGCAAACAAACATTCCCGTTATTTTTAAACCAAAAAAACACAAATAATTTTTTTTAAAAGGGCCCCCAAACTTAATATTTTGGGAACCTAAAAAAGGAAAATTCAAAAGGGGCAACCCAACTTTAACGTTTTTTTTAAAAGGGGCCCACTAAATTAAATGTTTTTTTCAAGGGGGAAACTTCCATTAATATTATTAATTTTAAATCCCGTCAAATTTTTTTCCCCTTTTCTTTTTTTTCCCCCAAAAATGGGATTTTCGTGGGAAGGGGGAGGGAAAATTTTCTCCCCGGGGTATAAATTTTTCAAATTTACCCCTTCAAAATTATGTTTCTTCCCCCCCTTTTTTCATTACCTTCAACCCCCAAAATCCGTTTAAAAATTTTAAAGAAACACCCTTAATAAATACAAAGGAAACTAAAAATTATTTTTTTTCCCCAACCTAACTATTTAAAAATAACGGAAACCTACTTCATTTTCCCTGTCAAAGGAAAAAAAACCCATCAATTCCAAAAAAACCCAATTCGAATACATATTTTGGGCAACAAAACTCTTTTTTTTTTATAAAAACCCCGGGACATTTAATTTCTTGTACATATAGTAAAAAACCCCAAACTTTTTTCCCAATTATTGCATCTTTTTGTTGGCAGTTCATCTTGTGGGAAAAAGCCCATTGTTCAATTACTGTAAACTTTTTCCCCCCTTTTTTTCCCCCCTTTTTTTTTTTAAATACCTTTTTAAAAACCCCCCAAAAAAAAATTAAAAAAAATTTTTTTAAAAAAAATTTTTTTTTTTAAAAAAAAAAAACCCCAAAAAAAATAATTTTTTTAAAAAAACCCCGCAAACTTTCCCCCAAAAAATTTTTTATTTGTTTAAAAACCCATTTTAAAAATTTTTCCCCCCGGGGTTTCCCGGGTTTTTGGGGTTTTTTAAACCCCCAAAGAAAAATTTTTTTTCCCCCAGTAAAAAAAAAAAAATTTAACCCAAAAAAACAAAGAACAAAAAAATTTAAAAACCCTTTAAAAACCCTAACCAGTTTTAAAAAATTTTTTAAAAAATTTTTAAACCCCCCCCCTTTTTCCCCCCCCAAAACCCCCCCCAAAACCAAACCCCCCCCATTTTTTCCTTTTTCCCCCTTAAAATTTTTCCCCCCCTTTTCCACTCCAAACCCCCCCTTTTTGGTTCCCCCCCTTTTTAAAAAACCCCCCCCCTTTAAACCCCCATTAAACCCCCCTTTACCCCCGAAAAACCCCCCTTTATTTTCCCCCCTGTTTCCCAAAACCCCCCATCATTTCCTTTCCCTTTTTAACCGCATACTAAACAGGGCCCCCCTAAATTTACAGTACAAACTTTGGAGAGATAAAACCCAGGAAAAAGGGGGGGGGAATGTGGTCGGACTCTTTGGGGGAGGGTCTTGTATAAAGGACACTGTAAAGGACGAGACCTGCCTTGTGATCCAGGTACACTCCTCTCTGGGGACTGAGGGCCTGATACTTTGTCACACATTATTTTGTCTGAACAAAACCACACAGAGCACACTAAACTCCAGGTTTTTTGATCCAAAATCCACCACCTTCCCCGTTCTGCTGTTCTTTATATGGGCGCTTAATACCCCCCCCCCCACTCCACTCCCCTCCCGAAAAAAGGTCCAAAAGACCCTCTCTACACAGAACCTGGTAGGTGTTTGTGAATCTGCTGGTGAAAAAGGATAGGTTTGGGCTTGGTCTGTCGTGTCCCCTTTTTTGTTCCCTTCAGAAAGAAGGGGGGTTTTTTTGGCTTTTTTGGGTCCAGTGGGCTGACAGGGGTCTGGAGAAGAGCGAGCAGAGACCATGGGGGGTTAGAACAATAAATTAAGTCAGATACTGAATCTACCCCGTCTTTGATTAAGCACGCAAGATCAATCAAAAAATAAGGGGTCAGAAGATACCCCTCTTTGATTAGATCACTATTGCTTATATTTAGGGGTTGTTAGGAGGGGCAGTAAAAAGGATGTTAGTACTTTAGAATAAGAACTCACTTGTAAGAACGTTCTCGGTCTTGGGGTCTGGAGGCAGTACAAAAACCTCCACTTATTCACTAAGACACACAACACATTCACAGAGGGAATGTTATCATACACCCTATTCCCCATTAATGACTAGTAGGGGGCTTTTTAAGGTCAAAGTTGATGTTTTTATTTTTTCAACACACCCTTTTGGAGATCTTGGTCCATTCTCCTTTTTAAAGGGGTCTTCAGTTTCCTTCAGTTCAGACACAGCTTCTCACATTTCCCAAAGTAGAAGAGGAGGGGGCAACATCTGGAAGTCTGAAGATACACTGGACCGAGAGAGCTGTAACTCTAAGACAGAGGAAAAGAAGGGAGGGGAAAAAGAAACCAATGATTGAAGTTTCACATTTAGTTTTTTTTTCATATCACATGTAAAAAGGCCGTTTATTACCTGGGGAAAAGGATGTATCCTCGTTGTGGAGCTGCTCCCGCTCGTGTTTCTTCCTAGCCAGTCTCCTTTCCCGTTGCTCCAGGGGGTCCTTACTTGACTCACTTGAGCCCTTTTCCTTGGCTCTGACAAATCCTCACCCGAGCGCCTTCTCTCAAGGGGCGGGTCAGCTCAGTAAAAATCTTTAACACTGCCACCAAGCTTTTCCTGTGCAGAGCTCTGTTAAAAGAGGAGAGAGACGACTTTTTTTATTTTAAGAGCCCCCTCATTACACAACACCCCCTCCTAAAAAACACTACTGCCAAAACCCCCCCAACAATCACAATCCACCCAAAACCACAGTACAAAACACCTCCAGCACCCCTTCCAACCCTCCCTAAACCCCCCCTCCAGCCGTACAAACAGCCCCCCCCAGCCCCCATACCTCCCGAAAAAATCTCCCACTGGGGGTTTTATTTTGTAAAACCAAACTAAACCCCAAAGGGGTCAAAAGTAATGGTTTCCCTGGCAACAAGAAAAAACCCTGAAACAGTCTGTCATTTCAGAAACGGGCCCCTTCCCCAAATCCCAGGTCACCCGGGCCAACCAGCATTGGTGTCCAGGGGTCCTGAATCCCCCCCCACGGAGGACCACCCTCCCCATGGGAGTTTAGGCACCCCCCCACCTATACCTTTCCATGCCTTCAGCCCCCACCCCCCCTGCCACCGATGCCCCTTTACTCCCTAAGCTCCCATGTGTCTAACCCTTTACACTAGGGGGTACACACCTTACCCCCCACCTCCTCAATCCCCCAGGGTCGAGGTTAAAAGTCAGTAATCCCCCGGCTCTCCTGCCATCCCCGTCTCTGCGTCACTTGCAGTGGTGGAAACTGGTGGCCCTCCCGGCTGCTCCGCCCCCTCCCAATGGGGCAGGCAGAGCCTCCTGGACCTCCCCCATGACTCTCTCCCCGCAGCCTAAGAGACGTTTGTCCCCGGGCCCGTGTCCGACTCTTTGGGGGTTTTCCCCCCCCGGCAGCCCCAGGTTCAGTCTCCTTAGCCTGCTGTATACCTCAAAGGGGTCTGGTTTTTGGAAATGGGGCCCCCCCATACCCATGCCCCGGGGACCAACCCCCCTCTGGTGGGGCCCAGCGCTGCCAGGCCCTCATACTGCACATAGAAATCAGAGACCCCTGCTGATGAGTCTTGGGATTCTCCTCCCTCTTCTACGCAAAACTACCAAATTTTTTTCCCTTTTCCCCCTTCTGTAACCAGGGGGCGAATCCAAACTTGTTTCTAGAATTTATGGGTTTCCCCCCTGCTAACCTCGGCAAGGGAGTGCCTTTTCCCTCCCCGGGAAGGATGCCCCCCAATGACTCGCCCAAAAGGAATCCTTTGGTTCCTCCCCCGAGGAAAGGAACCTTGGCTGCCCAGGCAACCCCTTTCATTTTCTCTAAATCAAAATGGTGCCCACCTCATTCTCTTTCCAACATTCCCGGGTACAACCGGTGCTTCAACAAGAAAACGGCACACCAATCCAGGCATTGCATTCCGCTGGATACGCAACTCGTGTTGGCTGGGCTCCCCGCGGCCTTAAACCCCTCAAATTATCCCCGAAGCGCGGCCCCCCCTGGGGTTCAACCTTCCCAAATTTTTTCATGTCACCCCGCCCCCCTCCGCACACTCCACAGGCTTCCCCGTTTTAAGCCGCATCTCTACAAGACCTGGTGCTTTCCTACGGGGCTGTGAGGGGAACGGCCCTTTACCTTCAGGCTTGATCAACCCAAAACCCAAAAAGGGGCCACGTTATCCACCTCTGGCCTGCTAGCCCCCCCACCTTAGAAACACAATTCCCTCACCCGTAAAGGTTCGCTGCCTGGCACCCCAATGGGGGAAACTCCCCCACGACGCCAGGACAGCGGAGTCACTGATCCCTTCCGGAACACTTGAAACCCCCCCTCTTTAAAGGATCCTGCAAAATATAATAGTTATCCTTTTTTACCCCCCCTTTTTACCATGTTTTTGTCTAAAAATAACACCCGATTATTTTAACCCAGCATGATTGTTTAAAGAAAAATTTACTTATTTGATCGAGATTTTGTCCCACTGGGTATCCTAAGTTTAATGCACCCAATTGAAGGCTCTGGTAAGAGCGTCTGCTAAAAACTTTTAAGTTAAAAGTTAAGAAAAGCTGTATCCCCCCAACCCCCCAGCCCTCCTCAACAGAGACATGCGGTTCCCCCCACCCACCTCCGTACGGTACATTCCTCTGCGCCATTTTGTCAAAAGAGGGGAAATGTCCTGGGAATGCCCCTCCCCACCCAGACTGGTAAACCCTCCCCCCACCTTGACCAACATGAACCCCAGCGCAACTTGAACAAGGCCACAAATTCTCCCCACAAACCCCAAAAAACACCAAAAACAAATTCATGGCCCCCATCAAAAGGCTTTCTCCTTATTTTGAACGATTTTCTGTGATTTGGGCCCGATACCAGTTACCCTCCATCTTATAGTCCCAAGCAAATTGCCCCCCAGGGGCCTCCATTTTTTAGTCGCTCAAATCCCCTTTTTTGGGCAAAGTCAAAGCCTCCCGTCACAAACCTTTGCGACAGCTCCCCCACCCCCCAACACCAACAAACAACGTCCCTTCCAATAATTTCCCAGACCCTTTTTAAAAAAAAACAAGGCAGACCTGGAGACGGCACTAGATTTGTGAAAGGCCGGGAAATGTCATTCTCTGGACAGAGAGGGGTTGGAAAAAGGGTTTGGCAGAACCTGGAACAACCCGGGTCAAGATTATGCCCTCTATAAATCAAGTAAACTCCACACCTCATCTCCCCCCAACAAAGTTACCCCCCCCATCAGCTCCCCCATTTTTCCCCCCCCAAAAAAAGTTACCCCCCCTCGGCTCCCTCTTCCCCCAAAAAAAAGTTACCCCCCCCCTCAGGCCCCTCTCCCCCACAACAGAAGTTACCCACCCATCGGTTTCCCCCCTCTCCCCAAAAGAATTTTCCCACCCCAGGTCCCTCATCTCCCCCCCAACAGAAGTTCCCAATCAGGCTCCCCTATCTCCCCCAACAGAATTACCCCCCCCCATCAGGCTCCCTCATCTCCCCCAACAGAATTACCCCCCATCAGGCCCCTTTATTCCCCCAACAAATTAACCCAATGTCCCCATTCCCCCAAAACCCCTGGCCCCTCTAAAAAAGTTCCCCCCCAGGCTCCCCCCTTTTACCAGGTTTTAACCCCTTTATCTACAACAAAATTTCCCCCCTGGTTTTTACAAAAAAAAAACAACATGTCCCATCCCCAAAACCCAATCTCGGGTTTAAAGCGTTTTTTAAAAGTTTTAAATCCCCCGGCCGGGAAAAATTTTTTTAATTTCGTACCCCTTGCGCGTTTAACTTTAAACTTATTCGGGGGGCTTTGAAAAGAGCCCCCCTGGGGAAATTGCCCTTTTACAAAGTTTTTAAATGGTTTTAATAAGGGGCCCTCTGTTTAAAAGGCCCTTTGGGCCAAAACTTATTAACTTTACATTTTCCCAGACAGACTCCCTGAAGGCAGGCCCACATCCTAAAACTAATTTCTCAGCAAGCAAAGGCTCTTTTTAATACCAGATTTATATAAAAAAAGCTCATTTTCAGTGGGCCATTCTTTTTAATGTTAAAGGGGGGGTTCGGCAAAAAAAGCCCCAAAAAAAAAATTTTTTTTTTTAAAACAAATGGGGGTGTTTTTGGTTTTATGTCATTTCATTGTTTGTTTTTGCTATGAATTGGTTTTTTAGGTTGTAAAAGGGTAAATAACTAGAAAAATTTTATATTTTTGCAATTTTGAGTATTTTACTTTAGTAAAGGGTCACTAGTAAGCCACACTTGTGCACACAAAGGCAAGTCGGCACAAAGTTGGGGTCATGGTAGCGCCGGAAGTGCATGTCGAGGAGCTGCTTCTGACGGAAGGTCTTCTCGCACTGGCTACAGGAGTAAGGCTTCTCTCCTGTGTGCGTGCGCCTGTGCATCAGCATGTGGCGCTCTTGTCTGCAGCAGTAGTCACACTGGTCACACTTGAAGCGTTTCTCATTTTTGTGGGACTTCTGGTGCTGGATGAGAGCATAGCGCTCGTGGAACACAGCATCACAGTAACGGCATTTCCTGCCCTGCTCAATGAACGAGTGCTGCTTACGCAGATGGACACCCAGGTCACTCTTGCGGGCGATAACTGTGTCACAGTGGGGACAGTGGAACTTGGCCACGTTCTCTGTGTGCTTCTGCAGGATGTGCATCTTCATGGTTCCACTCTGGGTGAAACGGGCGTGGCAGATGTAGCATTCATATGGCTTCTCTCCCGAGTGTGTCCTCATGTGTCTCTTCAGCTTGTAGGTGTCTCTGCTGGCGTAGCTGCACAGACTGCACATGTTTGTAATGCATGTAAATTCACATAACTTGTTCCAGTATTCTTCCAGTATGATCTACTGACAGTATACTCTTGTTCTACCCTCAGAATTGACAGAAGACCCCATGGTGGTGATCGTGTGCTGACCGACCAGCAGGAGTGGGCAGTGGTGGAAATGGTGAGGGCCAGGAATGACATACGTCTGTCTGAAATAAAGCAGGCCATTGAGGAGAATGATGACACCTTTGCCAATGTGGCATCCATCAGCCTACCAACAATCACCCGCCTTTTGAAGAGGCACCAGGTATCTATGAAACACATTTACCTGGTGCCTTCTGAGAGAAACAACTGCGGGCCGAGTATGTTCAGGTATAGCACTATATACTGTATTACTGTTGCTATTAATGCACATGCTACTTCACAATATCATAATGGAACTATACTGTAAAAAGAACTAACCAAAATATATTTTTAGAGGGTGATGGTGCTTGATGCTGCTGTGAACCATCACTAGTATATCTTTGTTGATGAAGCGGGCTTCAACCTGGCCAAAACTTGGTGCCGTGGGCGGAACCCTATTTGCCAATGGGCGTCCGTCCAAGTGCCTGGACAACGTGGGGGAAACATTTCCAAGTGCAGCAGCTATCTCTGAAGATGGTGTGGTAGGACGTAGACCATTACTTGGATCCTACCACGCTGCACACCTCATTGTGTTTCTCAATGAAATTGAGCAGGCCTGTCAAGGTGAAGGGGTCACCTATGTCATTGTGTGGGACAATGTCAGGTTCCACCATTCAGAGGTGGTTCAGGCATGGTTTCAGGTCCCACCCTGATTCGTGACCCTATACCAGCCCCCATACTCTCCTTCCTCAACCTTATTAAATTATTTGTTTCATCATGGAGGTGGAAGGTGTACGATCGCCATCCCCATGAGCGTGCCACCCTCCTTCTGGCCATGGATGAGGCATGTGATGACATGTCAAGCTTTGATTCAACATGCCGAAAGGTTTCTCCAGCGGTGCATGAACAATGAGGACATTTACTGATGTGGATGAGAATTTATGGCCAAATGCTCAAGATAGGCTTGATGCTAATTAATGCGTGCTAAACATTATTTTATTTTCATTCATTTAATGTTTCATTTAATGTCTCACATCTAATTACAGACAGTACTGTATGTTGCAATTACATCAGAAAAATAAAAATAAATCCCCATGAATGATTGTAGAGGATGTCATCATTGATCACACCTTTGATTACACATTGGATAGATATCATGGAAATGATAGATTGTCAATGTTGTTGGGTAATGTAAGTGTATTGCCTAATGTAAACTGTAATCTACAGTACTGTAGCATATTACTTTCAGCACTTCTAAGGGTTATTTGAAACACTTATCTTGCTGTGATTTCTATTGGTAGTTAATGATATATTTTCAATTGAGTAGTTTTAAGTTGTTTTGGTGATTAAACCAATGCTCTCATTACATTTATATTTTGAATCAATGGTTGTGTGGTGAGAGATGTTTCCAATCCAAATGAATGCACAATGACAGGTTTTGAATGAAAGACTGGCTGCCTTACAAGCGTGACCAGCTAGGAGTTTTATACTAAGAGTTGTGAAAATGTACCACCTGCTTGTGAAAATAGTACCAAAGTGATTAAAACAAAACCGTAATAGGATTTTTTTGGGGGGGATGAATTGTTAATTGATTTTCAATAAGGAACACTGAGGGAAAACACAACAGAAGAAAAAGGGGGGACGCAACCACTACAGTGAGGGAAAAAAGTATTTGATCCCCTCTCAAATCAGAAGGATTTCTGGCTCCCAGGTGTCTTTTATACAGGTAACGAGCTGAGATTAGGAGCACACCCTTAAAAGGAGTGCTCTTAATCTCAGCTTTTTACCTGTATAAAAGACACCTGTCCACAGAAGCAAACAATCAATCAGATTCCAAACTCTCCACCATGGCCAAGACCAAAGAGCTCTCCAAGGATGTCAGGGACAAGATTGTAGACCTACACAAGGCTGGAATGGGCTACAAGACCATCACTAGGCAGCTTGGTGAGAAGGTGACAACAGTTGGTGCGAATATTCGCAAATGGAAGAAACACAAAAGAACTGTCAATCTCCCTCGGCCTGGGGCTCCATGCAAGATCTCACCTCGTGGAGTTGCAATGATCATGAGAACGGTGAGGAATCAGCCCAGAACTACACGGGAGGATCTTGTCAATGATCTCAAGGCAGCTCGGACCATAGTCATCAAGAAAACTATTGGTAACACACTACGCCGTGAAGGATTGAAATCCTGCAGCGCCTGCAAGGTCCCCCTGCTCAAGAAAGCACATATACATGCCCGTCTGAAGTTTGCCAATGAACATCTGAATGATTCAGAGGAGAACTGGGTGAAAGTGTTGTGGTCATATGAGACCAAAATGGAGCTCTTTGGCATCAACTCAACTCGCCGTGTTTGGAGGAGGAATGTTGCCTATGACCCCAAGAACACCATCCCCACCGTCAAACATGGAGGTGGAAACATTATGCTTTGGGGGTGTTTTTCTGCTAAGGGGACAGGACAACTTCACCGCATCAAAGGGACGATGGACGGGGCCATGTACCGTCAAATCTTGGGTGAGAACCTCCTTCCCTCAACCAGGGCATTGAAAATGGGTCGTGGATGGGTATTCCAGCATGACAATGACCCAAAACACACGGCCAAGGCAACAAAGGAGTGGCTCAAGAAGAACCACATTAAGGTCCTGGAGTGGCCTACCCAGTCTCCAGACCTTAATCCCATAGAAAATCTGTGGAGGGAGCTGAAGGTTCGAGTTGCCAAACGTCAGCCTCGAAACCTTAATGACTTGGAGAAGATCTGCAAAGAGGAGTGGGACAAAATCCCTCCTGAGATGTGTGCAAACCTGGTGGCCAACTACAAGAAACGTCTGACCTCTGTGATTGTCAACAAGGGTTTTGCCACTAAGTACTAAGTCATGTTTTGCAGAGGGGTCAAATACTTATTCCCCTCATTAAAATGCAAATCAATTTATAACATTTTTGAAATGCGTTTTTCTGGATTTTTGTTTTGTTATTCTGTCTCTCACTGTTCAAATAACCCTACCATTAATATTATAGACTGATCATTTCTTTGTCAGTTTGCAAACGTACAAAATCAGCAGGGGATCAAATACTTTTTCCCCTCACTGTAACATAACAGTATGATATTCTAATGAGGCAACCACTAACATTACAGTATGATATTCTAATGAGGCAACCACTAACATTACAGTATGATATTCTAATGAGGCAACCACTAACATTACAGTATGATATTCTAACGAGGCAACGACTAACTTTACAGTATGATATTCTAATTGAGGCAACCAATAATACTACAGTATGATATTATAATGAGGCAACCACTAACATTACACTATAATATTCTAACGAGGCAACGACTAACATTACAGTATGATATTCTAATGCGGCAACCAATAATACTACAGTAAGATTTTCTAATATTTTAACGAGGCAACCACTAACATTACAATGATATTCTGTCGAGGCAACCACTAACATTACGATATTCTAATATTCTAATGAGGCAACCACTAACATTACAGTATGATAGTCTAATATTCTAACGAGGCAACCACTAACATTACAGTATGATATTCTAATGAGGCAACCACTAACATTACAGTATGATATTCTAATGAGGCAACCACTAACATTACAGTATGATATTCTAATGAGGCAACCACTAACATACAGTATGATATTCTAATGAGGCAACCACTAACATTACAGTATGATTTTCTAATATTCTAACGAGGCAACATCTAACATTACAGTATGATAGTCTAATATTCTAATGCCAGTGAGCAAATCTCCAATCTCCACCCTATTCCCTATGTAGTGCACTACTTTTGATGTGGTCAGAAGTAGCCTAGTGCACTACGTAGGGAACAGGGTGTCATTTGGGCCAGAGTCAGTAACTCCCCTGGGTATGAATTCTCTCTCTATCTTATCTGTCTTCTATATTATGTTCTCCTCTCCTCCTCTCTTCTCTCCTCTATTCACTCTATTCTATCATCCACACCACATGCCAGCTTCAACACAATCCATTTACAAGTTAAAGACACACCTTGGAATTAATAGCAAAGGAAAACTACTAATATGATGTATTTTTTATTTCCCATCACCATGAATCATATTTAATAACTGAACAGTAGCAGACCTAACTTAATCTGTTCCTGACTCTAGATAGTGGATTAAAAAGACCATCAATCTCCAATTATATTAAAGTACAATGCTGAACATTACTGATATGCTGAGTGGCAAGTCAAAATATCTGCTGTTTTTATTGTTTGGTTAATAGCACCACCTGCTGGACAGGTTTAATATTGCTTGACTGAGCAGTATGGGAGAATAAAAGATGCCAAACTTAGGGTCGGTTTCCCGGACATCTCCATTGAACATGCTTTTTAGTCTAGGACTAGGCTTCATCTGTGTCCGGGAAAACCAGCCCATATAGTTCAATTAGCAAGTAAGTAACACTACCTGTTCCATGATACTGAGGAAAATTACATTGAGACAGAGAACCAATTGAGAAAATATTTCAATGGTTCTGAATGACAACCAACATACATTAACAGCATACATCATGATTAATGTAAATGTAGCCAATTAAAACATTGCATTTGATAAAAATACGTTAAGTTTTAATTAAACTCTGAAGATTAAATCAGTCAGACAAAAGTAATTGTACAGAAAAACAGAGCATTATATCTGAGGACCATCACCACCAGCATGACTAGTACCTATGTGGACCCTACTACAGTTTAACCAGCTCAGCTATAGACTACACCAGCATGACTAGTATCTATGTGGACCCTACTACAGTTTAACCAGCTCAGCAGTACCTTGTGAAGAGAGATAAAACCCAGGATAGAGGGGCTGAGTGAATGTGGTCTGGACTCTGTGGAGGAGGGTCATTGTATCAGAGACACTGTAGAAGGACAG